AAAATATAAAAGTCACCATTTGAATATTTAAATAATTATAAAATCAATATCTATGTTTTTATAAATCCAAATTTGATAAATAAAATATCAATTTTTTTTTAAAAAAAATCAAATAACAATTCTAAAAGTAATAAATTATTAAAATAAACAAATTCCATTGAGGCACTCCATATCCAACCGCGAACTACAAACCACACATGATTTCTCAAATCGACCCAACGTTGCCCATGACCCACAGTCCATACATGGGATCATTAGTGGGTCACCAAAGTCTTGCCAATTTGCAAGGGGTTGAAGATGAGACCAATGTCATCCTGAGCTGATACAATCCATAGCTCAATAGTGCAAAAGGAGTACCTCTCGCACATACATATGTATCACCCTGAAATGTGGTTCACTTTCCAAAAAATGGCTATCAATGTGCATGCCGTGTGATGGTACAGATGATGAGGCTTTGGCTTTGTCTCTGAAGGCCTTCATCACACACAAAGTCACGCAGTCCCTCGGTTCTAGTATACTCCAACCTCATAAAGGGCTAAAGCACTAAACCCTCATCGATTATATCTCTATTCCCAGATACCTTGGTTTTTTTTTCAACTATATTGACTTAGCACGTCAAGTACAATTCAGTATCTGCAAACATCATTTGCTTAATAAGGTATACAAGGGACCATACTCCCACTAAGTTTATATTTCACTATATATTTTCATTTTACAATCACTCATAAGGCATTTCCCACCTAACCCTTTACACACATCAAAAAATAATAATAATAATTGATCCCTCACACTTCATATTTTTACATTGTATGGTGGCTCACATAAGTAGAATTTGCTGGTAATAATAGAATGAAAAGAGAAAATTGTTGAATATATGCACTATGCTATTCTACTCAGCCACTTTGATCGATATCAAAGCAAGATGACCTGCTGCAATTTTTCTTCTTCTTTTTGTCCTTTTTTTAGTGTAATAAAGTTTGAGAAACTTCAAAGCTTTGAGACGGCCAATGGTACAGCCCGAGCGACCCAATTTCAAGTTTATGTATCAAAGGCGATTGCGAAATCCCCATGCCAAATGCAAATCGCCCTGATTGTATCTTTTCCTACTTCAAAAGCAATTCCATGTTTTGAGTGGAAGAGGGGTTAATTTCCATTGACCTGTGCAAATTTTAAACTTCGAATATACGTAATGGCTACCGTACGCAAGTGGCAGACTTATTAGCTTGCCTTTCTAATGTCAAAAAAACTTTTTTCGCAGGGCATAGTCCCACAATCTTAACAGACACAAAAGTCTCCGCTTTATCATTTCAACAATGAAATCTTCATAAAATGGAAAATAAAACACGCCTCGTTTATACTGCAAACGACATGCTGCATATATTTTCAACCATCCAATTTCCACGACGGCTGGTAAGAATCCAATTCCCATGCTCAAGCATGCAACGGCCTTGAGCATGGGGACGGCTCATCTCAACTACTGATTCGTTGGAAATGAACAGTCGAGACTCTAGATTGCACATACTACAAAGTGTGTATCCTACATGTGGATTCTATTGGGCCGTACCATCATTAATTGTTCTTTATAACATTCAAAACATCGACTCGGCCAAGGTACTCGGGTGGGTCCTGGCCGAGACGATGTATTTGGCCAAGTCAAGTTCCCTTTTTTTTAAACAAAAAATCACATAAAATAATTAGATATATATATAATGAGGAGCAACTTTAATTCAAAGTATGTCTCTTGGCATTGTGGTAGCATGCCCATAGAAGTTATGCAGCCCGAATCCGAACAAGACGTGGTATCCAATCTCCCCCACACCCTCTTGCATTTTTTTGGCAAATAAACATTACGTTCCCCCACACCCTGTTGAATTTTTTTTGCAAATAAACATTACGTTGTATATAAAAATGGAGGCACTTTTTTAGCAAATAAACATTACGTTGTATAAAAAAATGGAGGCACCATTGCAACTATAGCTATGTGTGGCAAATGGGTACTTGTGGTCTTTACCTCGGGTTGTGAGTTCCATTTTTTAGGTCTATTTGTCTTAGTGCATGTATTTATTTTGGAGTTTTTTTTTTTCATAACCTTTTTAAAAAATATATATATTTAGTCTGTATTTCTTAATGGTTTGGATTTATGTTTTAACTCTATTTTTATTAATGGCTTGGCTTTATTTAAGAGTTCTTTTTTCCACAACTCTCTTGAGTTCGATTGGGGGGCTACATTTTATTTCAATATCTTAAAATAATAATTATAATAATAATAATAATAATAATAATAATAATAATAACATTATTGTTGATAAATTAAAGTAAAATATTAAATTTTACACAGTTCATCTATATTACCTATATGAGGCAATAAATCAATTAATATTGAAGCAAGCAAACACAAAGCAAGATAGGGGATTTTAATATCTTAATAATAATAATAATCAGAACATTATTGTTGATAAATTAGAGAAAAATATTAGATTTTACATAGTTCATTAACATTACCTCTATGATACAATAAATGAATCAATATTGAAGAAAAACAACACAAAGCAGTATAAGGGTTTTCAAGTTATTTCAAGATCTTAAAAAAATATTAATAATCAAAACAATATTGTTGACAAATTGGAGGAAATTATTAGATTTTATAACTTTTTGATTGTTCATCGATATTAGCTCTAAGCTTCACGAAATCAGTCAATATTGGAGCAAACAAACGATGAATTTGTACAGGGGTTTTGAAGCCGATTTCAAAAGCTTCAAAACAAGCCAAAAATATTATGAGTTGGTGTAGAAATAAGCAAGAACAAAGAAGTATGGCGGAAAAAAAAAAAAATCATGGATAGAACCCTAAAACGGTAAATTTAAGGTTATTAAACTCGATAAACACAAGAATCAGTATAGGGTTTTTGTAGATAACTTCAATAGATTTGAAAAAAAACCCATAATCAATCAAGTTCGTGGATAAATAAGAGAGAACAGAGGAGATTGGCGGATTTTTTTTTGATGGGCGAATAACCCTAAAAACCCGAAAATTTTGTGATAAATTGTTCTTTGATTTGAGTTTTGATGAGCCCAAATAGAACCCTAAAAACCCAATATATTCATGATAAATTGTTGTTCGATTTGAGTTTTGATGAGCCCAAATATTATCATAAAGATAATATTTATGTTAAAAACATGGAAAGGTTCAAAAAATCGATCAAAATCACTCCCAAATTTCAGATTATTTGTTTACAAAAGTTTTCTATTATAAAAAATGAGTTTTATCCACCAATAGTGCAAAATCAGAAGAGTTTCATGTTTTTTGGATTGAATCTTCCCTTTTTCAGTGATTCTTGATCACCCAATGGACCAAAAGCTACTGTACCATAGACTCGGTGCCCCTCGGCCTTGGCAGTGGGACAAAGCCGAGGAACTCGGCCGAGTTCGAAAACGATAGTTCTTTATGAGAGTGGAAAGACTTTGAACTCGGGTTGGCACTCAATGAAAGGCATGGCAAATAAGAATGTAGTTTCTCTTTATTGGCATCGGAGCACTTTCAACGCTTTCCAAAAAGGCACTCTTTTGTCAAAAAGGACTTGAAGACTTTTGTTTTGGGGGGTACAACCATGTTAAATAATCGACAGTCAAAAACATTTAATCCATTTTTTGGAACTTCCCTTCAAAACTCTGTAAACCCTGAAAAATCTCTACTTCAAACAAGATTCAGAAAAATTGCCTCTTGCTGAGTTAGAGCAGGTTCGAATGGACAATTCTGACCTAGTATCATATCAGCCACTTTTATTCTTTTAACTAGCTGAGGAAGAATTTGTAAATTGATAAGATCAGGTGGACAGATTTTCCATCTTTAAGGAAAAACACTATTATCTCCCTTAAAAAAAACCCCCTAATTCCCTTTTTGGAGCTTCTACTCTTACATAGAGTTCTTGTTTCGATAATTCATAAGTGAGGGAAGGTTCTTTTTACTTCTAAGTCGATATTCAAAATCATTCAATTCTATATTTTTTATTCTATCAAAGTGTCAGGCTTCTAAATTTTCACAATCCCCTGGAATTCCTTTTAGAGCCTATTGATTAATTTTGATGGATTCTATCTTTCATTGATTCGTAGTAATTAATAAGCTAATGAGTCTCCCTCTTTTTGCCTTTGTAATAAGTTTTTGATATTCAATAGCTTATGGTAAGAAATAATCACATAAATCCAAACATTTATTTATCTAGCCATGAAGTAAATCAACAACTACTTCTTTGATGCAGAAAGAATTATGCATCATTCACATTTCTATGGCAGTTTCGAATGGATAATATAGCAATTATCTCTCAGTTTGTGCACCGATATCAGACATAAAAAGTTCAAGCCATAACAAATGAGAAGCTATACTACTGAGCTCCATGACATAGCTGGTTTTTCTAAGTACTTGAATATTTTCCAACTCTTTCCGGTGCATGCACTATTATTGCTTTTGTGAGCATAGTAGTAAAATAATCCCAACGTGTTGCACAAAAAAGATAAAATCCCTAACTTCTTCAACTTTCCTTCTTATATTTTTTTAAAATTTCATCGTACATATCCAAATTGAATTCGGATATAATTAGATTCGAACCGGGAAAAATAGAATTGAACCTTGCTGATTCAAAATCGGGTTCGAGGTTTTCAAACACTGCTTGAAACTTTTTCTATTTGGAAATGAGATTTATCCCACAATTTATTCCTAATTAATTTTAGTATTGCTCTAAATATAGTCTGTTTAAAATTTGGATAACAATTTCTATCTTCATATTCCATTAATGTGAATCCAACGGTTAACACGGGACACGTATTGTTTCAATCTGAGCCGTCCAATTCAAATCAACGAAAACAACGGACCCACACGCTTCGATTGGCCATCTACATGGCGGTCTTTTTGGCCTTAAAGAATTCTAGGATGCCTTTATCATTAATACAAAATATTAGGCTATAATATGGCATCCGACACAAAATATTTCTGACTGTATTAGAGTTTATTTTTATTATTTTTACTATCCAATGACCATAAAAGCATCCTCTGCTTGAATCAGTTGATATTTCATCTTCCTGCCCTCCCTCCCTCTCTTTCTCTCTAGCACTTGAGCTCTCCTCTCCTTTCAGATTTTTAGGGTTTGATAGTTGATTTTGTTCTGTTCGATTGCGAGGTTTTCCGCCTGTAAGTTTGCGATCTGATTCAATTTCATGGTAATATAGCCTCAATAGTGAGAATTGGAGAGATGAAACAGATATCGCACTCTTAATTTCCGCCTGGTTCCATGGTTAGGGGGTTTAACCACCTGTCTGGTTCATTTTTAAGAGCTTTCATGATGTTGTAGTTGCAAGTGACAAACGCTATAGAGGTGAGATGTTAATTGTGTTTTGATGTTTATTCTTTGGCTGATTTCCAGGATTCAATGTTGGATGTGTTTATTTCATGTCGCAGTAGTCTATGCCCATGTTCTTGAACATGTGAGTGATAAATGATACTGTGATGAAGCAATTGTTTTGTGTTGCTCTTAAATCGTTGGTTCATTTATACGTTTTCATTATTTAATGATCACCCAGTTAATTTACAGGTTTTCTTGACAAATGATGCAGAGAGGAGACTTGTCTTCCATGGGGGAATTAGCAAGGGGATACAATGGAGAAACTCAAGAAATTTTTTATCAGAGGGGTTATTTTCATCCCGTGGAGAAGGGCACAGGGCCTCTGTTTGAAGGTTTTCAGAGGCTTCGGCTTGGGGATGGACCAGATTTTAATGGCTCAGCTCCAACAAATGACAATCTCAAGCAGGTTATTAAGGCAGTTGAGGCAGCTGAAGCCGTTATCAATCAACAGGTAGAGTCTTTTCTTTTGTTTGATTTGTAATTGACATGTATATTCCTCTTCTTCTTCATCTTCTTCTTCTTCTTCTTCTCTCTTTCTCTCTCCACATTCACATTTAGGGACAAAACTAATGGTTCAAGGTTTTAGGGAGGTGTAGCCCCTTTTTATGAAAACTTCAATAGATATTGTTATTGGCTTTAATATCCGTGGTGGTGAATTTAGTCACTCAGTAGGGGCAAGCAAAACTATTAGTATGGTCTGAGCTTCGAGGTGGCTGCTAACCACTTAAGTGATGCCATCAAACATGTCATCATCATCATCATCATCTGCGCCTCATCTCAATTATTTGGGGTCGGCTATGCCTCATCTCAATTATTTGGGGTCGGCTACGCCTCATCTCAATTATTTAGAGTTGGCTATACGAAACCTGTTCCGCCATTTTACTCTATTAGGGGTCATATCCTTAGTTAAATCATAAGTCACCGTATCTCTTATTAATACTTCCATCCATATCCTTAGGGCCTTCCCCTTTCCCTTTTAGAGCCTTATACTTGAACCAAACCTCTCCTCCTAATTGGTGCTGTTCTTAGTCGATTCTGCCCATGACCAGATAATTGAAGTCTACTTTCCATCATCTTATCACCTATTAGAGTCACTCTTAAATTCCATCAGCTGTATGCATTCCAAATTTTATTATTTATTGTCTTGCTCTACACTTATTCTATGGATATGTTGTTTCTTGACCGTCCAACATTGCATCTCATAAAGCATGACTGGCTTTACAACAATCCTATAGAACTTCTCATTCAGTTTCATTAGTATGTAACGATCACATAAGACTCCAGAAATACATCTCCATTTCATTCACTTAGCTCTAATTCTATATGCGGCATATTCCTCAATCTCTGAATACTCATAGATTATTGACCCAAGACATCGAAAATAATCTCGAAAGTAATCTCATATTCAAAAAACATATTGAAAATAATTTCTTTTAGGTATTTTTTGCTCATCAATCTTAATTAATTATTTGTTTCTACTCGTATTATTATTAAATCATTTTTTTATATTCTGTCTTAGTTCAGCTAATTGTAAAACCTTTCTATTCTAGAGCTTTCCTCCAAAGTTCTAACTTTGTATTGACGACATCTCCAATCTCATCAATCAAAGCTATGTCATCCTCAAACAACATACACCAAGACACATCATCCTGTAGATACCTAATTAACTTATCCATAACCAAAACAAAGAGATATGGGCTCAACATTAACCCCTAATGTAGGTCTATTATCACTGAAAATTCACTCGTCTTTTACTAGTTTTCACACTAATTAGTGATCCCTCGTATATATTTCTCACTGTGTCAATATATCCTCTAGAGACTCATTTCTTTTCTAACAACCACCAAATTAATGTTTATTTTTCATTGTTAAAGTTAAAAAAAAAAAACCCACCAAATTAACTCTCTCAGTACCCTACCATAGCATCATCGTCATCATCATTATCTCAACCTTATCCGCTACACAAATCTTGTTCCGCCATTTTGATTTACCAAGGGTCATACCCTCAGTCAGACCATCTGTCACCATATCTCTTTTCATTACTTCCATCCATGTCCTTTTGGGCTTTCTCCTTGCTTTTTTAGAGCCATCCACTGGAACCAAATCGCTCCTCCTAACAGGTGTTGTTTTAGCTCAACACTGCACATGCCCAGCCCACCTAAGTTCTACTTTCCATCATGTTATTGCCCACATTTGATAACATGGGTTATTCGTCAATGTATATTTGAACTTATTTGCCCTAGAGATTTGAGATTTTATAACATGAAACAATATGTTTAGGTGATCTTGATTGTGCATATACTTATAAGACATTAGGATGGGATTTTAACATAGATTACAACACTGATGGGATTTTAACATAGATTACAACACTAACCATAAAGTATAAGTGGTTTTTTTATTTTATTTTTTGTTCTTTTTATGGCTAACTTGTTAACAGAATTTATTAGTGGATGTTAACACGACATATGCCCACAGAATAACCAAGCGTGTCCATATTTATACAGATAGGTTAATAAGAAGTAAGGGATTCTTTTATAGAGAGCTGTTAACACTCCCGCTCCTTAACCTGTTGGTTTTTGTAGGGTGCTAATGATAGAAAATCTGATATACATAGTATGATGCATATCTGTTCTATTGTTGATGTACATAATATGTCATATGATTAAAGCCTTCCCCGCTAGGCATTTAAACACCGTGTCAGCCACCCAATTATGCCTTAAGCCTTCATGGCAGCAGGTCCCCTGCTATGTGCTTTCATCTTTTTCTAAAATTGTTCACCACCCCCCACCCTCTATGGGACCTCTTTTTGGAATTTAGGGGATTGCTTACTTATCTTCTTCCAATTGTCTTAAGCCACACATTTTGGAGCAACTAACTTAATAGTAATATAAAACTGCCATCTTTAGTACGAATGAAGTGGCTGAAGGAGAAAAATGAATGCAAACATAGTAAAAAAAACTTGAACTCGATGGCTGACTCTATCACTGCAAAAACTGGGTTAACTCGCCAAGTCAAATAGTAGACTAGGAAAACTTGGAGTCCTCCTCCTCCCCCTCCCCCCCCCCCCCCTTTCCTTATGTGTAAAGAATTTAATGCAAACAAGCACATATGATGTGAATAGGACCTAAGTATTCTGCAACACTACCCCACATGGGAAGGCACCACCTGTAAGTCAAATTCACAAACAAATTTATGTAGAAGAAAAAGCTCAGAAACATCCCATTTATTTCATGCATAAAATTCGCACATTGGATGAGTTGAGTTGATTTGGGTGAGGTGATTTTTTTACTCGAAACGAGGATTTATTTATGGTTTCTGTTTTACAAGCTTTTGTTTTGCATGAGTACCAAAAGAAATGAAGATGGAGAAAAGCTGAACTAACCACCTCATTCCTCTCTTCTTGGGGCGTGTTTAGGCACGAAGAGCAATAGGATAAGGGCTCTGGATCTCTACGTCCCATCTCATTCTTATTTATACTGATACACTTCATGATTTATTTTACTATGGGTAAGATTTTCCATCCAATGCTGATGTCTGGTCATTTGTTGCATGCAAGTTATGCGGTGAAAGATGTTATTGATTCATGTTATGGCCGTGCACGTTGCAGCCATTTTCTTTTTTGCTATACATTCCCTCATGGATCTTAAAATATAAATATTCTGACATAATTAGTTCTATCATGTGCCCTTGCATTGTGTTGGTGAGATTTACCCATTAGCTGTGCTTGTCTCTTTAATAAGTTGTATCAGGTATTGAGGATGCTTGAAATCACCATATGAAGCAAAAATTCATTGGGTCAATATTACTAACACTGTCTAATATATACCATAGAGAAAGGACTATTATTTAGGTATGCCATGCACACTGTGTATCTTATACTTATTCATATTAAACGTGGTAGGAGTTTGTTATTATATCATTTTTTTATTTGTTCTCTTAGTTTCTATATCAAATATAGTATGTAGCAGCAGTGAGTTTTTATGTATGTGGCCTCTTTCAGTTTTAGTTATGGTTGAATTGATGGAATGGATTTGTGTTGACTGTTTTTTAGTGTTATTGACAGGAAGAAGAGAATAAGAACCTGCGCATGGAACTTCAGAGAAAAGGACAGGAACTTGAAAAATATGTGAGTATTTGTTCTTTGAACTGCACATGTTCCTTACTTTCTTTTTGTAATGGCAGTCTTGCACCAATTCATATCGTGTTAGTTGTTTCAAAATGATTTTCATTTATAGGTAATTTGAGCTCTCATCTTCCCATTCACCTATTAGGATTAAGCATACAAAGCAAACTACATCAATGAAAAATAAGAAACAGAAAACAAACTTTCACATTCTGTGTTATAAATTTAGTGCCATGCATGAACCTCATATATTGATTTTCAATGTTTTTCATAATTACCTATTTTGCTCTTAGTTTAATCAAAAGCGCAACATAATATTGATTTGCAAGTCAAAAGCACTTGCAAAAGCAACACTCTTTTTATTCCCCATATGTCTTATGCTTGGTTTGGATCTAAAACATGTTAGGGGGCTGTAAACCTTTCCAACCCTTTCCTACCCTCCTGAATTGGGGGGAAAGACTGTATTACCCTCACCTGTAGCAGGTTTTCTGCCGAAGGATATTTTTTCATCATGTTGCTGCGATTGTCATCCACTTGGGGCTACCATTCGTGCACCCCGGGAGTTGCTTTTGACAAATGGCCTGGCTATGATTTACTCATAAAACACAAATGGCTACTGAGTTTGTTCTAGCCATTTATTTTTCATAAGTAAATCTGAGCCAAAATTTGGGCAAATGTTTCATGCATGGAGTAGGATAAGATTGTGGCTTCTGTTAAGGTTTTATGTAGTTGTAGCTTATTTGTACATTGGTTATGTTTTCTCTTTAGAGTTAGCTCTTGTGTGCTTCATACTTGAATTGTCTTTAAAATTTCCATATGAAATTTTAAATATGTGAATTTGACACACAGACACATACATGTATATGTATCCATGCATGTATGTAGTATAATTGTGCATCTGGGTAGTGGAAATCTTTCTGAAGCAACAGTTCCTGAGTTTGATCTCTTGGGTCTTACGTTCCCATCTTCTTGATTCACCCAAAAGTGTACTGAAGAAGAATTTAAAGGAAATATGACTCTGATCAAAGAAAAAAACCGGAGAAGTACCCAAGCAGGAGCAAAACTCAAGATCGAAACTTTTTTATATTAAAACTGAATTTAGGAAGAGTTCCAAGCACTTTAAGCAACCCGTTTCATTTACATCCAATCTTTATATTGAAAGGAAATCCTTTGTTCTGTGGTTACAAAGTGTTCTAGAGACTCAAAGAAAGAAGAAAAATTACAGACGTAGGATACTGGAATTTACATGGAACTTCGTATACCTTATGTATAGTGCGAGGGTTTTGAGCTGTCGTTCATTCAAGAATCCTTAGAGCTTGTATGAACTATGAAGTTGGATCAACTCTCTCTCTTTCTCTCTCTCTCTCTCTCTATATATCTCTCTCACACACACAGACATACGCACACACACACCAACCCGTCTCAGGAATTTATGAGTGTCTCTATGTATCGGAAGCTCCTAGAATTCGCTAGCTTCTGTCATTGACATCATGGCTTGAGATTTTTTGTAAAAGGAAAACCTATTAAACTTGGCAGCCTTCCTTCTCTGAATCAGTTTCGTCTAAAGTTTTCTTTCTTCTAGAGACATGAGAGGACATGAATTTTGAGAATTTACACCTTTTTAGTAACACATATTGGATTTAATGGATCATTCATAGACAAAAAAAGATCACTGCGTGCAGCAGCTGGGCCTGAAAATCAGGGCCCTTTAATCCTAAATCACTATGCAATCTGAAATTTTGGTAATTTTGAACCTTCGATCTTGATTTTGTATCAAAAAAGAACCAAATTGTACTAATTTCATAAAAAACCATAGCTTATTTTAAAAAATTTAAAGACTTTATTTTCAAAAGTTGTTCAAGTTTACTGAAACTTGATAATTTTGATTAATATCTTGAGTTTACAACCTCGAGATAAAAGTTTTCTTTTAGGAAACCATATCCAATCGCTTTTCCTGGTTATTTTACATCATCCCATAGTGAAGTGTTTTTAATTTGTGAAAGAAAATTCATAAATTCACTTTGGACATGAAAAGGGAATGTCCTTTTGTGTTGCCCTAATTCTTGTCGATTTAGGACTTGTGTAAAATTCATTAAAGAAGTTTCTAATTCACTCACTTAAAATCTTAAGAGTATTTTAGAATCAATGTTCATGAAATTCGACTCGAGAGACATCAAATTTGAAAACTCCCCTGAGCCTCCTTTGCCTATACAAAGTTTGCCTCGTTGATACTATTCCTTCTACAAATTGTTTTATAGGCTGCGCCGGGCGCTGCAGTTACACCCTTTCCCAAGGGTGGAGCGAGGGCATCTTTCAACTTTTAAGGGGGGAAAAAGGGGTTGGGTGGGGGGGGAAATGGTATTCAAACCCCTCAAAAGCTATTTTTGAGCTTTTGAAATCCCAAAAAAATAAAAAATAAAAAATAAAATGAAATTTTTTTTTTTCAAAAATTTTTGAGAAAAAAAAATCACAGAAGTTCTCAAACTTTACTTCTTTTTATTGGATTCATTGCGAATAATCAAGAGAAGTTAAACATGGAACTTTAGGGTGATTTAAAGGTCCATAGTATCCAATACTTCGAATATCAAAGATTGGGCAGCATATTAGGTTTCTTATCTTCGTACTTGAGATTTCTTCCTTTGTCTTTCATAGGTTCTTTTAGGAGTGGGGATCTGGGATGAAAATATGGGTTTTGCCCTCTAAAAATGATGAATTGACATTGCAATTTTTGCAGTGAAGATACAAATGCATGTAATAATAAATCTACGGAGCACCTCACGGGTATTGGGACGATGTTACCCCATGTAGGAAGTTCCAGGAGGAGATAGGAAGATATGGATATCGACAAAACAAAGAAGGTGGCAACAGAGGCAAGTTGTGTAGAGCTGCAGACAAAGGTGAACATTTTGGGGATTATGAGCCCACCCCTCCAAACCAAAAAAAAAAAAATAGTGGCTGCAGAAGAGAGAGAAAAGCAACTAACACTAGAAAAAAGGTTCAAGAAGCAACATCAGGGCTGAGTAAATCAGTATATTGCTCGGTCTTTTAATCGAGCAGGTATTGCTTTTAATGCAGCTTTCATACAATGTTGGGAGTTATTTACCAATTTGGGCTGAGGTTGAGGGGGCTTAACTTCATATGAGCTTAAGTAGTCAATGCATCAGAAGGAGGTAAAACTCACAAAGGAGTACTTCAAGACCCATAAGGATTGATGGATCCAATGTGGGGTCATAATTATGATGGATACTGGAGTGATAAGAGGAGTGTGATGAACCTGTTGGTGAATTGTCTTTTTACAATAGTATTTTTTAAGTTTCTAAAACATTTGATGATACACATGATGCAGCTTTCGTTTTTTATTTGATGGACTAGAGTATTGAGGAGGTTGGGGAAGTGCATCTAATTCAAGTGGTAACTAATAATGCAACAGCCAATCTAGCTGTTGTCAATTTGTTGCGACAAAAGTGGCCTTGTATCTTTTGAACACCATGTGCAGCACTCTTTATAACCCTCATGCTTGAAGCTATTGGTAAAATGCATAGGGTAAAGAGTACTTTTTACTACCATTAAGGCCGTGGTAGTGTTCCTTTATAGTTGCACGCTTACCCTTACCATGATGCATAAGTCCATTGAGAAAAGGTATCTAGCGAGGCCCACAGTAACAAGATTTGTCACTGCTTTCCAAAAGTATGCAGAGCATATCAGGGAAGAGAAACCAATTGAGATCGGTGTTCACTATAGAAGAGTGGTCTAGATGCAATCAGAGGCTTTGAGCACTAATAAGAGTATGTATGGCTCAGTAGGAGATTATAGATACAAAATGGAATAGGCAGCCTCATCAGCCATTGTATGCGGATGTGTAATATTTGAACTCAAACGTTCTTCTATGCAAAACTGGATATTGAGGGGAAGGATGCAATAAGGCTTTAATGAATATCTAAAGAGGCTGGTTCCCGACAATGATATCTAGGATAAGATATCTGCTGATGAGTTGATTTTGTATAAGTGTGCATTGCAATCATTTGGACAGGAAATGACAGTGAGACAGAACCAAATCAGATCATTTTTCAATTTCCAAACTCGATGATGGAGTCAACATGGGAGTAGTGGTCTGATCTTATAAAGGATGGCCCAAGGGGTGTTGAGCTTAATATGTGGCTCATTTGGCTGTGAGTGCAATTGGAGAGTTGGTAAGTTGGCATTTGCCATGCAATTTGCATTTTGTAAAGTTTGGTAGATCAGTATTACACAATTAGTCATTGGTTGTATTTCTAAGTCTTCTATTATAACCTAAACTTAAATTATAATTTACAAGTAATAACTTTCTTATTAACTTTTAAACTCTATTAGTAATAGTTGTTTATGTAGACTATTAATCTATTAAGAACTTCAGATTACTGTACTGCTTTGGTAATTTGTTTTCCAAGTCTAGATTATAGGTCATGCATTTTCCCCCTGATGCATATAAAGATAAAGAACATGCTTGAGCAAAAGATGTCAGTGATTTAGCCCTTGCTAAGTATAATCATAGGTTATAGGAACAATTCCAACATTGTGAGTAGAGGGATACCATTGCAGCCAAAAGCTTGGATGATGTCAGTGAGTGGTTTGAGTGAAGACCCTTGGGATTAAAGAGGTCTTCCCTCATGAGGGTTTGACTTGGGATATAGTTGAGGAGGCTTTTGACCCTTGGAGTACCACTACATCAATGACCACTACTCCTAGTTCATAGAGGAGAAGAGGGAGATGGATGAGGAGGGGGCAGATTTGGAACAAACTGAGGAGTGCCATAATGTCAAAAGAGGATAATGATTCTGATAACGATGGCTTGGAATTGGATGGAGGTGCTTGGGATGAAGCCAACAATTGTGAAGAAGATGATGGTTGAAGACTAAGTTATTATTAAATTTTCTTCTCATATTCTTAGCATTGTACTTTTATGACTTTCACAATTCTCATTACATCGTAGTTTTGAACTTTGGGTTTTTCCATACTGGAAAGGGTATGGGCTATGGAGATTAAAGTCTGACCTATGGAGTATGGACTTGTGGTTGTGGTTTTGTACTTCAAGTTCTTTAGTATTTGGTCTTTATGGATGTTTGAGTCTTTCATTGAATCATGCATATCATCTGTTGCTTTTGATTTAGTACAGTTTTGAAATGCGATTCAATGATTTGAGTATGTTTTTCAGCATATATATATATATATATATATATATATAGGCGAAAATGAACAGTGATTTCGCCTATGCTCATCACCATCCAAACTTCATCGCACGGTCACGGATGTCTGGTAGTGTTTCATTTTTCATTTTTTTCTACAAATTGGAATGATCTGAAATTTGGAGCGTGTGTACATCCACGTAAACTTGGGACTGGGTATGCTTTTTCTTTTCTTTTTGGTGTACGATATTGCAAGGAAATACTGAGACCAGGAACATGGAGTTGGTGGAATGCTAGTGTAGGATGTTGGTAAACACTGATTTCAGTATGTTCATTTACTTTTATGAATAATTGATAATGAACATAAATAAGATTTACCTTTTTTTTTGTCAGTTTTTATGAGTATTGTTTTAATGTATACTGTAATCAGTGTTTGAACTTTTGAACATGATGAGCTTTGGCTCTATATCTGAAACGCCAGAGTAAGGTTATTGCAATGTGGGATGCTGTCTATTGACTCTTTTGTTCACATGTCTGCAGAAATTAGAAGCTGCAAGTCCCCCAATGTCAACTGCAAATGGTTCTGGAGAAGGAGGTCAGCATGTCCGAGCAGGCTACATGACACATTCATCTAAGCTTTTCTATTAAATGCAGAAAAAGGAATTCAACTCATTGTATATTCTTTTATATAATTTGTCATTTTGCCAATATTGAAATGGCCCATATGGTTGACGATTATGTGGTGGATTCTAAGGTATGATGATCATCCACAATAATCCGACACCCACAGAAAATGTTAGTCATGCACCAGAAACTAGTTCAGCAAGTCAACACTTCCCTCAGAGCAGTAATGGGAGTGGAACTTTCAGAGCATTACCTGATGGGCTGGCAGGTGGGGATAATGCAGGGTTCTCCCATATATCCTCACCATCTTACCGGTCCGTTCCTGCTAACACTTGAAACTTGATTGTGAAATTCTCCATTTGGTTAGCATATTTTGGATCCATTCTCCTTAGGGAGGATATTTTTAACCTAGATACACTTTTGTACTGAGAGGTTGATTTGGATGATATGTCACAGGCACCAAAAGGAAGGGCAATATGATCCCAGGCCTAAGTCATCTGATCAAGGGCTGGTGTACATTCCTGAAGTGAGTTACTCAGGCGGGCTTCAGAAGCTATTCTCATTTGCTATTAGATGATAAATGTATGGTTAACTTGCCCTTCGCATAATTATTAGCTGATTGCAAGTTTTGTTCCAGAATATGGCTCTTAAGATTAGAGAATATGAGGAGGACATATTTCATTCAAGAAAACAACTTGCTGACTATTCTATGAGGGTATGGGAAAGCGGATATAATTTTATTTCTTTGTCATGAATGGCAATATTTTCTTGTTATGTCTTGACTTCATGTCACTTGGATTTTCATTTCCGCCATTATTTATAGGAAGCACAATTACGTAATGAGAAAAACGTTCTGGAAAAGCGCATTGCTTATATGCGCATGGTGAGCAAAATTTCCATTATATTTTTATTTTTATTCTTTGCTTTGTTGCAAAAGCAACATTTGCATCTTTTACTTTTTTAAGGTTCCTGATTTAGTCATACCTTGATATTTGAACTTAGGCATTTGATCAGCAGCAGCAGGATCTAGTGGATGCAGCATCAAAGGCTCTAGCATATAGACAAGATATAATAAAGGAAAACATACGTCTTACATATGCACTACAAGTAAGACCTCTTTACAAACAGCATAGCAAAACAAGGTTCTCCTTTTGATATTGAAATGCAAGTTTTCTTTATTTCAATTGGCCAAAACATATATGACCAGATAGTGTGAGCCATGATGTCTGTAATAATTTGGCTTAATGTATTCTAGTTTGGTCCACGGATAATTTTGAATAATGTGGATTGTATTAATGAGAGGTTCTTAGACCTATTCTGCCTTTATATTTAGCAAAAACCAACCCCTGCTCCCCTCTTTGATAGTCTTTTCGCTGACCACCATAAAGGATAAACACTTCTCCAAGTCAGGCTCATAGTACCTCATTCCTTGATATCTAGATGTCGTTGATTCGTTCTAAATTGATGGCATTTAACAACCCTCTCCTCTCTCTTCAAAAGGTCCATTCCCATAGTTGGATTTGGAGACAACAATCCATTTGTGTTACTAAATAATGTTATAGATTAATGTGATCTTCTGTTTCAGATGTACTTTGGAGTTTTCTAATGGTAAAATATATCATGTTCTAAATCTATCTTCGTCAATTTCGGAGCTGAATTTATTGAATCATGCAAGGGCACAAGCATAAGTCCATCTAGGTGAAGTTCACGAACTAAATTGATTTACGCTCATGCAGACACCATGGTGGCTAGCAGATTTGACGCCTTTCAAAACTCCTTGTAGTAGCCGCTTTATCATCTGAGAAGTTTAGATTTCTATTTCTTGCAATAGCAAAAGCACGTAGTTTATGCACATTAGTTATACTTTCTTTGGAAAATTCTCGAACAATTACCAGCGTATCATTGTGATAAACCTTTGTGATATGAGTCTTGCTTATCACAATTCAATTGATTTTGTCTTGGGAAAAATCTGATACCGTTGCAAGAAACCTCTCGTAACTAGGAAATGGGCCATTTGCATGGGTGTTCAGGGTGCGGAGCCCATAGTTACTGGGATCTCCCAATTCAACTAGCAATCCTGCTCCAGAATCTCACTCTTATGCGTGCCAGAAAAATAGAAATGGGCCATTTACATGGGTGTTCAGGGTGACGGAACCCATAGTTACTAGGATCTCCCAATTCAACTAGCGATCCTGCTCCAGAATCTCTCTTATGCGTGCCAGAAAAGGGATCTTCAAGGGACCTCGATTTTTCAATTTTGGGACCTCAAACCCGACTATTAAGGATCTCAATCCCCAATTTAAAGACCAAGATAACAACCAAACTGATGATTCTCTTTATTTATAGCTAGTAGGGATGCTACTATATTTTTAATGTAGTTGCATTACTAGTTGGCGCTAAATAAAAAGATTCTTACTTTAATAATTCTATTCTACTCTTTAAGGTTGGGAGCAAGATCCCCAAAAGGTTGGCATTGAGATCCCAAAAGAGGTTGGCATCAAGATTCCAAAAGGTTGGGATCAAGGTCCCTAACATATGTCTTGTACGGATGATGCTTCCTACCATAGGGATCTTCTAGCCTTTTATCAACCCCCGCTTCCATCCCAGATTACTTCCGATCCCAACTACTATGGTGAAGACACAGCGTGGCATCAAAGATTGCATTCTACCCCGTTAACATGTCAAAAAAGGAAACCTCTTGTAACCAGTTTTGCCTGTACCTTTGGTTGCTTTGCACGTTTACTTTTTGGAGTAATAAAAATGGCCAATTGGCATACGATGTTTGTTTCCTTAAAACAATTCTTGAGTTGACTTGACAAATTGGTTCTAGTATTGGTGTTCTTCATGTTAAACTTAAAATTCAAGTTTCTATGCTATTAATTTTTATTTCCCAGTCTGTAACACCTTTTGGTTTTTCTTCTCCAGGCTTCAGAGCAAGAGCGTACAATATATATATCCTCCTTATTGCCTCTTCTTTCTGATTATGATTTGACACCACCTGTGACTGATGCTCAATCCATTGTTAGCAATCTCAAGGTACTGATTATTGAAATTTTTTTGAGAGTTAATCCTAGAAGTACTGGATCTAGAATTCTTATTTTCGATTTATCACTTAATGTCATAAACGATACGTGCATGTCTATGCGTGCTTTCCTAGTGAACAAAGTATTTGAAACCTTGCACAGTTTTAGTAATTTATATACTCATTGAGGGAATTTCAGATAATTAGTGCAAAGAAATAATCGACTCGGTGTGGATTGCTACCCATGAAAATGATATCATCAATGTAATTCTTTCTTTCTTAGTGTGTGGGTACTAAACTCTGTGTATATGTGTGCATTCTTTTCCATGCATATCCATTCAGGTGTGGATGTCAACATCATGCATGTAAGTGTGATGCATGTGCAAGTGTTTGCATTGTGCAATGCATGCATGTATTTATGGATGCACATTTATGTTCATGGCCTCATGAATGTGTGTAAGCAGGTGTTCCTTTGTCTGTGTATGTTTGTTTACTTGTCCTGTTCTGCAGCAGAGTGTTTAAATCTGTGCAAACATATGGGTGGGTGAGATGCCTCTTTTAAAGTTTGTCACATTTAGGAGACAAACATTTTCTATTGCAAAATTTTTTGCAATCAAGCTCTAACATGTTCTTCATATTATCTCGATTGTAGACCTTTGTTATTTTTACCTTCATGAACTATCCCTGAAACCTTTAGATCCATAGGGTCATATGGACACACCATTTTTTGGTCATAGCGATAAAACTCCTCTATACTTGCACCTAAATGGGTAGCGTGCCAACTTGCCATGCATATTCACTGCACAACTTAAGGCAAACCCTACTTGTTTGTGAATGCTGTTGTTAAACTTAAGCTGCATTTTGTCCTTATGGATACAAGAAGAGAACGTTTTTTATCTGTATCACCAAAAACTTGGATATGGTTGTACTTGATTATGACAATTGAAGATGCCTATTTTCACGATTGTTAACAAAGGTAACTGATGATATGGCTTGGTTATGGCTATTAGTTTGTCCAAGACTCCAAATGCGTTGTTAAGTTCTATTACAAGTACGGAGCTCTTTGAGATGGTTAAAGGGATTCACATTGGGAATGATATTATGGATACATAATTTTATAATTAAGTATACATTTTATGTTTTTATACTTTTTAATAGTTTTGGTCTTTCTATTCATTTCTCATTTTTTTTGCGAAAATGATTTTTAACCAGTATTCTATCTTTTCTATTTTATTTTCTCATCTTTTATATAATTTTTCTGCTCTCACAAGTTTTTTGCTTATTTTTCCGATATTTTGGAGTTTTCCCAATTGTTTTGGATTTTTTTGGTTCTTTGCACATCTCAAGGAGGACGTGGGGGAATCTACTCTTGACTCTTATAGTCGCTTGCACTGCCCAAGGCCCGTTATACATCCGAGCTGCATTTTCAAGCTTTGCTTTATCAATATTTCTTTTTCATTCTGAGGCTTGGATTCATTTCTTGTCTCAAATATCGACTTTAGCAAATCATATCTCAATTGATTGGCGTATTTTTTTTTTCCATACCTGTACATTTTCATAATGATGGTACCTTTCCAAAATCAAACTTTGTTGTTACGCGTACTAGCCATTCCTCAGAAGGTGTTGTTAAAAGGTCATCAATTCCTAACAAAATTGATGTCAAACTGCTTGCCGGAAACCCAGAGTCTTTACTTGATCTAGAATGGCAATTTGGTTGAAATGAAAAATCAAGGATAAAAAAGTTTGTTTTTTATTCTTGCCTTGGAATAAACTGACCAAGAAACCACAGGTTTTGCTGGGAATGCCCGTGTTATCAATTGGTTTGGTAGATGACTTGGGGCTTAAGTGGCCCATGCTGGATTAATTATATTCTAGGCAAGAGCAATGAACCTATTTGAATGGATATATGGCTTTTCAAACAGGAATAGTAATGCCAATCATCTCGACCTAATGTACACAATATGCCTTTTTGGAGACCTATGTTATTTGTAAACAATCTCCAAGTCACTGTGTTCCACTTTGTGAGGAGGCACCCCTTGTCCCCAACTTAACAGGACTATTTTGCCAGGTTCTTTAGAGAGAGGTTTCTCTGTATTCTCAGATTTTGCTCCTTCGTGTAACACTTTTGTAAATGTTATATGCCTCTCTTGTTCTTTTGTGGAGCAAAAGATTTTGCTCCTTTGTGGAATAGGGTTATATGCCTCTTTTGTAAGTTTGTTATCGATTAAAGTAAAACTATGTCAAATCTCAGTATATGAAACTACTTCCATAAGCAGAAACTTAAAGACACCCTGTTGATGAAGAACACAGTTCATGGCCCATTCTAGTCTTGAAAGACTCGGTAAGGTCAATGAGACCCAATGAAATTTGAATCAATTTGAGGATGACATTTAATGTGGCACAAACGCGCTAGCCATTTAACCCAGCTCTTCAAACTCATTCCGATCTCTGATTTCGACCTCTTCAAACTCATTCCAACCTCTCATTTCCTGACCAACTGGGTCAACATCCTCAATTACAGGACAAGAAAGGTGCCTCGTTCGGCTCTGTGGAGGCCCCCTGAGAGGGGGGAATCTTCAAACTCAACTTCGATGGCTCCTTCGGCAACCCCGGCCCAGTCGGGGCTCGTGGGATCTTCAGGAATTCGGAGGGGATCTCTATCCTGTCATACTTGGGATTGCCGACTCCACTGAAGCTGAAGCCAGAGCCCTTCTTGAAGGCCTTAGGCGGTTTGACCTTTCATGGGGCCTCCCTCTTTTGGTAGAAGGAGACTCCCTTAATATCATCTCCTGGGTGTCCCACACAGCACAACCCCCTTGGAAATTGTGGCACATCTTTGATGAAATTTATGCCCTGTGCAGGCCTATTCCAGTCTCATGGACGCATACCTGGATGGAGGCAAATCAAGTAGCGGATGACCTGGCCAAACTTGGAGCTGCTGTGTCAACTTCAGTGACTTAACCCTGACGTCTTTGTTTCTCTTTGGGCTTCTTTTGTCTTGTATTTCTTTTTTGGGTCTTGTAGTTTTTGGGTTTTTGTCACTCGCCTTGGTGACTTTTGGGTTTTTCTGTTGTATCCTCTCTGGGGCCCTTTTGTATTATTCTAAACCATTTATACAATGTTAACAGTTTCAAAAAAATGTGGCACAAACTTGACCATAGACTTGGATGAACTCTGTCTGGTTATTAACTTGACTGAGGCTGATAGAAAAAGCAAAAATGGCACATGTATCCTTAGTTTTTACTATATATAGGTAATATAAGGACTTAACCCTTATCTTCTTGAATACTGAAGATGCTGGTATTGGGTTTGGATTGCATGGTGCCATTAAGAGAACCTTGGCATTTAAGAATTCTCATCACAACAAGAATATGGGAAAGTGGTGCCTGGTTTATAGGGAAGAGAAGATCAAGGAGAATCTTGGTCTGACCAGTGGAAGGGTCATATTCCTAGATTGGGCCAATGATGTTACCTTCGTTTTTTGGATTGTATTCTGTTCTCATAGGTCCTTAAGCATAAATCTATATGCATAGCTTCTTACATGTAGTGTCATTAATAGATGCACATTTGAATGTTGAAGTGTATGTGTGTTTGTGTCTGAATACATGCATGTGTGCATGTGCTTTTTTCTAATTTCTGCAGTAGGCATTCTCTTTCTATATTCTGACTTTTTCTACTTTCATGCTGTGGGACATGCATCATTTGAATGTTGGAGTGTATGTTTGTGTCTGAATACATGCATGTGTGCATGTACTATTTTCTAATTTCTGAAGTAGGCATTCTTTTTCTCCATTCTGACTTTTTCTACTTTTGGTTGTGGGTCATACATGAACTGCTGCTTTCTATAGCTCTTGATCTTTTTTCTCTGTTGATTAATTTATTTATGTTTTCTTGTTTTGCCAGTTGTTAATTCAACATTTGCGTGAGAAACTGAACTTCAGTGAGGTATTCTACTTGCACTTTAACTTGTCTCCCTCCTTTTTCATCATCGCATAGAACTTCAAGAAGGTCCCTAAAATAGCTTCCCTTCATATCTATAGTTAATGCTGCTCATTGCAGACTAAGATGAAGGAGTCTCAGTACCAATTGGCCGCTTGGCACCCAGATAGTCTGAACAACCCCAATTTTATTCCGCACCCACCTTTCCATTCTGGTGGTGAGGTATCACACTCATCTCATGTAAGATCTTATAACATGTACTCTTGTGCATTACTGAGAGGACAATTGTCTTATGGAGGATGTTTTGATGTCAGATTAAACGTGGTCTTGAAATTGTGCCCCAAGCTGCATATTCTGCTGCACAAATGCCAATATCTCCTACTTCCAATGCCCAGACAGCCATAATAGATTGGGAGGCATTTGGGAACCAATATCATCATAGTGGTTCAAAAAATGTGGGTCATGATAATACGGAACCATCCACCTTCTCTGAAACTAGGTGAGCAATTATAGCTCCAATGCCAATCTTCGACAGGAAAATCTCGAAACTCCAACTATTGCTGCTTTTATTTATTTGGTCTCTTTTTCGTTCCATTTTCCTTTATTGTTGTGTTCTTGCAATATATTGTGTTTATTTGAATTAATCATGCTCTAATTTCACTGAGTGCTCTTCCTACAAATTGCCAAAAAATAACGGAAGAAGTGTTGTTGGAATCATGTATTTACTTACTCTTGTGTTTTTAAGTCTGTCTACTCAGTTATCAAATTTACTGCCCTCATGTTCTATTCTATGTTAATTTTGTGAAATGTCTCAACTTCAAAATTTAAACATGACCAATCGAATTCCAAGGATGTTGATTTTTTCTGCTTTTTTCTGGTTATTGGCGTGAATATATTACTCTTGTTAAGACATACTCATAGGATGAGGGTAGCTGAGATGAGGATGTTGAGATGGATGAGTGTCCAATCGGCAATAGGATGAGAGAAAGTAGACTTAGGTGGGCTGGGTATGTGCAGCGTATGCCCAGTACAACACCTGTTAGGAGGTGCGAATTGGTTCAAGTAGAAGGTTCAAAAAGGGCAAGGGGTTTGGCCTAAAAGGACCTAGGATTCGTGTAGCCGACCCCAAATTGAAAAGACTCTGATGATGATGATGATGATGTTACTCTTGTTAACTGACCCCTAGATAAATTTTAGGTTAATATTGCCTTAGTTTGAGTATGGTAATGGCTGATAAATTTCTTTCTAGATGAATTTGAGTAGTTGTAGGATTTCAATATTTTTAACTGCTGAAAACATTATATTCGTCTGTAGGACCGAAATTTACATTCCCTCCCTTGGACAAAACCTTAGCTAGGAGTATTATTTAGTAATCCAAATTTTGGGATTGGAGCTACTCAAAGCAACTAACCTAGAAAAATGAGTTCATTACACACTCAGAGACTGCATGAAAAATCATGCCTTAGGATAGTCAGATCTAGATGTTTAACTACTCAAAATCCTTTTTTTTTTTTTTAAGCTACCCATCTAGTGATCCTAACATGGATCCCAAAATTTTAGATCAACAAAAATCCCATGAATAGTTTGTCTGAGGGTGTAAATATAAATTTTTCTCCCCACAGAACTTAGTATATATGCTCTTCTAAGAGAATCTGCCTCCAACTGTGCTTTCATGTGGAACCTGTATTGAACAAGCTCATCTTGACTTATTAGCTTATGTAGTCTATAATCCTATATGAAGCGAGGTATGGGTGATATCAAAATCAAAATGTTAAATGGAATATGCTATCTTGTGCTGGTACAAACAACACATCCCTTAATAATCAATACACTGGTTTGAAAGTTTGATTATATACATTTCCCTTCATCAAGATGTGGTGGTACTATGATACGCTAATATAACCATTGTGTGTAACTTTAGGGTCTCGAAAATAGAACTTCTATTATTGCCATCAAGTGAAGTCTTATGTCATTAATGTAAAGAGCATCAAGCTCTTATCAATGATAATTAAGATTCAGGTTCTATAAAGAAAGGTAAAGAAAAGTGATGTACATCGCGGTAGGCGGCCCCGTCTAAGTGTAACGCAGCACGCCTCAGCTGAGGTGTCCACTTTGGGCACCTATTACCTGAAGGTGGAAATTGCCCTTGGACCGGGGGAAAATTTCTTAAATATGTGAATGCTGGAAAGAAGAAAAAGGTGGCAAGCAAAGCACACATTGCAGAGTTGAAGGAGGGTGAATATATTTGGTGATAACGAAGAAGATGTCAATGAAGGGGAGAGTGAATAGGTTCTCCAGAGGAATTGGGTTTAAGAAGGCTGGGGCCTATGAATGTCTCCCACCCGATTCCACAATAGAGGAAGGGAAGAAGAAATTAATAATTGAAAATATGTTTAAGGACAATCCATTCCGAGTGGATCAATATATTGTTAAGTGGATGTTATCAGGAGGCATTCCTTTCAATGCTACTTGTTTAAGCAGTTTCCATACATTGTTGGAGCCAATTGGCCAATATGGGCCAGGATTGAAAGGGCCAACCACATGAATATGGGCCAGGATTGAAAGGGCCAACCACACGAGTTTAAGGAGCCGCTGCTACTCACAAATGGGTACCTCAAGAACCACTGGGATGTGTGCATGCAATATGGGGTCTCATTAATGACAGATATATGGAGTGGGAGGAAGAGTAGTAACATGACAAATTTGATGGTAAATTGTCCTTTAGGGATAATGATTTTGATGTCTATTGGTTCCTTTGATGATATTCACAATGCACAATTAATTTTTTTCTTTGGTGGACAAGGGGGTATTGAGGAGGTAGGAGAGGAGCGTGTCATATAGGTATTAGCAGATATGTCTGTAGCCATTATGTTTGCTGCTAATTTGTTGTGACAAAAGCGGCATTGTATTTTGTATTTTTTGGACACCATGCACAACACGCTGCATAAACCTCATGCTTGCGGCTATTGGCGAAAGGGTAAAGGGGACACACACTTAATGAGGAAAAGAGCCCGGGCTTAATTGGTTAGCGCTTGACGATTTGCAACGCTACGTCCTAGGGTCAATTCCTACCAAGGTTAGGGACCCTTCTCCCCACTTACTCACCCAAGAAAAAAAGGGACACTTAATGAGGTTATATCGTCTAGAGTCACACCCTTACCCTTAGCATAAACCACAAGTCATTGAGAATAGAGTATAATGAGGCCTAATGTCACAAGATTTCCTACCTCCTTCCTAAACACTACATAGCATAATGGTAGGCGTGTTCTGCTTGTCCTATTGATGTTAACATTTCTTTATCAATGTTTTATGTCGTACTTTATATATAAGAAAAAAAAGAAATTTTGTTTTGTCGTACTTTAAGCAAAAAGGTTGTAACTGATACTTCAATTTTATGTTACTGCTGAACATTTTAATTAATGAATATTGATCTAGGCGATAAGTTAACCATTAACTGATACTTGACAAAAATAGTTGAAGAACTGGAAATAAATTTCTTTGGTTCTCTTGATCTTACTCAATATTTGGAGGACAACTACTTTAAAGCAATACAGTTCTGCATTCCATTGTGCAATTCCTCTGTTGTGTTTCCAGGATTGCTACTGCCCAAGGTCTGTCATCTGTTCTTCCTCCTGCACAAAATGATGGTCATGCTGATTCTCTCTCATTCAAGGACCTTGCGAGTGATAGTGAAGTAGATGGTTCTCGACAACAAAGTGAGAGAGAACCAGCGGTCCATTGGGCTTCAGCAAGTGCTCCATTTAACATGCCTGCACCTGAGGATCCAAGCTCGTCCTTTACTCCCCAATTACCTCCAGTACTTGAAGAACCTAGCTCCTCATATTCTGAAGGTAATTATAAATGTGGAATCTTTTGTTTGTTCTTCTATTGTGCTGAATTGGAAGCACTTTAAGGAAGCAGTTCACCGCTTGATTGCTCATTGAAGATGCTGTGGCATACAGCAGCAGACGATGATGCTTTACCGGCGATACGTGAACTTCAAATCGCCGGTGATGCATTCCCAGGACGGGAGATTCAAGCATGTGGATTCTCCACTAATGGCACAACTGTTTGTATTTTCCAAGTATGTCTAGTACTTGAATCCGTGTATTCTTTGTGGTTTTTGACTGTTATCAAGAACAACTCTCATAGAAAATCATTTAAAAGTGTTGCATTTATATTTTCATTTGCAGTGGGTACGCCATTTCCAAGATGGGACAATGGAATACATTACTGGTACTGCATTATAACCTGACTCTTGATCTTTTATTTTGAGCTGGTGCTCATGTGTCCATTGATGCAATTAATTCTGATTCTCCATCGTGCTTTTTGGTCTCTTGAACTTCTACTTGTTGATTTATCAGGGGCAGATCAACCTATATATCTGGTCACAGCTGATGATGTTGATGCACATCTTGCTATTCAATGTGCTCCAATGGATGACAGGAATAGAAAGGTATTTTCATTCTTTAAAGTAATTTGATGGTAATTCATATTTTCAAAGTGCTTGATTAAATTTCTATTATAATGGAAGAAATATTTTCTTCTATTAGTGTGACAAGTTTTATTGGTGTTGATAGGGGGAGCTTGTTACAGTCTTTGCCAATGAGCAGCACAAAATAACTTGTGGTGAGTCTTTGGCTGAATGAATCTATATAACAAGTGCCACATGGATGGAGATGTTCTTATTTTCCTTACTTCATTTAAATTAAAAAAAAAGGTTCTGAAAGCGAAGTCTGTAACAAATTACTCAATATTTCTAATGTATGCAATCCAATAAGAGCACATGGCCATTAAAAGTGGTCGGAAGTGTTTAAGTGTGGAGATGCATAACTGAAATGTATAAACATTCTAGTGTGGACCTTCATGGTAGTGATTTTACTACTAACATACAAGTGTATAAATGATACCTCTATATTTAAATTTCTGAGTCGTAAACTATCCTTTTCGCTGTTAGTACTAGTGACGTTTTGGCTGTATGAGCATGCATATCAGAGTTGTATCTAAATGGATAACTTTTTAATTTTAGCAATATACCATGAGTATAGTTATGATCTTGACCAATATTTCTGGAGGTTATGCGCATTCAGACAAAGACATTTTAGTTTTTTTAATGCAAATATCTATAAGGTAAATTATTGTAATTGTTATTTGCCCATAGTTGTAGATATTGTCAATGTGTCTATACATGTGTGTGAGGTAATTATAGAGGACAAAATATTTAGAGGGATGCTTTGCAAGCAAATGTTTGCACGGTTTTATACCCACCTTGAAAATTTATATATAGAACTAAGATGATTAAGACTTATGAGAACCCTAAAAAGGGAAAACTGTATGTCGGAACAATCAGAAATCGTCAAAAGTCTCAGGTGTGAGTATGTGAATTCTCAGGAGTAGCCAACAATCTCATCTCTGATATGCATGAGTAGAGTAACCCAAATAGGAATGGAAATTCTGAGAACTCTTAAAAAGTAAAATATGTTTTCTTTTGCTGCTTTTGATGTTCCTGTGCCCATATTTTTATGAGGTTGGCATCATGGGCAGCTCTACTGTTGTTATTGAAAAGTAAATTTCGTTATATTGTGAAATGTTGATTCTTTAGTATGAGGATGTTGAAGTAACAATTACTTAAAACATTATGGATTTCACTGAATACTTGTTAGAAACTCTGGTCCTCAATCACCTGGTAGATGCTCTGCTGATCATGCCATTATATTCATGGACCATTTTTCTTGTGGAAGATCATTGGAACCCATTGCTTTGTGGTTACAGATCCTGCTATGCAAGAACAGATTGAAAGATACTTTTTTGATGGACAGGCATCCTTTGAAGTTTCCTTGTCGGTACGCCCTTATCAAAGAAGCCTTCAATTTTCAAAATAATGAAGTTTTTAATTGAGCTCTTTTGTTTCCTATCACATTAAAAGATTTGGAATGCACAGTTTTGATATCTGCATTAATTTATCTCAGGATTTGAACACTTTCTTAAGCAGTTCAGCTGTTTTATATATCTATGCTTGTAGTATAAACTGTGTAGTGGATCAAGATTAGAAAAGATTGTCCTACTTTTGACTTTTAATGTTCTATATACTATAAAATAAACTTCTTACTGTTCAAATTGAATCAAATGCTCTCTACAAAAACTTGCAGGAATTTGTTGCTTTTGATCTTCTTGTAGAAGTTGCTTTTGCAAAAAGGATCTTTGGAGATTTAATCACACTAAGATTCTTGCTGTTTCTTGAGTTTACAGGCTGGCTGTCTAGATATATGGGAATCAGCTACATTGTCGCTTAAGATGGAGAGTTACACCATTAAAAATGGAAGCAAACCACGTGGCATCCTTATTTCAGAGAAGTTCTCACAAAACGTCTCTGTATGTTTCCTTTGCTCTTAGTCAGAGTGCTTCACTAAACTTATTTTGTTACTGATCCGAGAGTTCGTGTCATTCTTCGCAACCATTATCTAATCCTCAAATTTGTGACTTGACTGTCTACATATATGTCCATCCATTTGTCTGGATAAATATCACCAATTCATCATAAGCCATTGATGATGGTTATTAATGATATTGTAAACCGACAATTTAGTTTTTCTGTGTAGGGGTTAATGCATCTCATCTCTATTTTGCAGGTAACAATCCCTTATGGTCAGGCACTTGAATTTGTGTTGTTTAGTTCTGATGGAGGTGAACACCATCTAAAGATGACTACTGATAGTGGCTCGTAAGTATTAACTTTTCCACTGGAACTTCTGTGGAATTCTCTCGCTCCCATTAAACAATGTGCTTTACACAGGTTTTTCTTGTTCTGCATCATTCCCATGTAACAGGCCTATATTTGACAATACCTTTTACTGCCAATTAAAAGATTATCTCTTGACAAAAATGATATTTGCTTGTGGGATATTGCATCTTCATTCTATGCTCCAACCATGAACAAGAAATTTTTGTTCCTATATATTCTCAGATGCCCAGCTAAATTGATGAGAGATACCTATTTTCCTTTAGCAGCAATGTTCTTTTTTGTTCTATATTTATTCTGGACTTAGTTTTACATCTTCTCTTTTATTATGTTCTAAAACCATTTTTATGGTAAGCCTAAAATCTTTGAAACAAGTGACAAGCCTAACCTGGCAACCACCACTGCAACTGATTGGAGCTCCACTGTCTTCTGCCTGTAAAGGAGCTCGGGTGGCCAAGATGGTTCAAATCAACGACAGAAGTAGGGGGGAGCAGCTCTTGCTGCTACACGAACCCTTTTTACTGTGTAGAGCAGGTGGATCTGCCTTGCTCTGATATATATATATATAGAGAGAGAGAGAGAGAGAGAGAGAGAGAGAGAGAGAGAGACGTACGACGCGTGCGTCGTCGTCTGACTCCTACTAACAAGTAGGTGACGACGGTCGTCGTCGCTGTGCTACTACTACTTCGTTGTCTCAGTACGCGGACAACAACTA